ACCATATTACTAACTTAACAACTGCCGTGATTCAGCTAACTGTAGCAAGAAAGATAGTAAAACAGTGCAAAATTCACTTAACTGTCTTGCTTAGCAGTGTAAATTTTGGGCCCACTTGTGGTCGTAAGTCAAGGATTACCTGTATACCACTTCTCTTCCAAGTGTCCAAAGTGACATACACAGTGGTCTCTCCCGTTCTGCTGCCCAGCAACAGTCCTGTGAGATAAGTTGGGCTGAGCAAGAGTGATTGGCCCCTATTTGACCCAGTGAGCTTCTGTTCCTCAAAGTGGATTAGAATCTGGGTCTTTTCCCAGGCCAGTTTGGCATCTTAACTATTACATCACATTTACTCTCATTTTAAAAAGGACCTTCCTTAGGAAAAGAAATGAGGAAGACATACTTACAGGGACAATATACTCACCTTTTTAAAAAGTACATTACATAGATCAGATTGCATCATATGGATGCCCACCCCAGCTCCAACAATGCCAAAAAAAGTTGCGATACGTGACACCTGTGATATAGATGATAGATTTTTTTAAAAAGCAAAACATGAATTTGAGAAGTAAAGTCATATAAGAGTTCTAAGATGGCGGCACCTGGATCGGCTGTAGCTCCATTGGCTCTCGAAGGTGAATAATTTTGGGAAGGATATTGTTCTGTCCCCCGTCCGACCCACACCCCCCAACCAGTCAGCCGAGGCCTGAAAAACTGCTCGGCACAGCCAAAGACAAATGAATTTTTGGCAGCAACTTCGTAGCTGCCTGCCAAGCCTTTACTGATAATGCACAGCAAATAGAGATAAATCCAAGATAACTTGCCAGAGTGCTTGCAACAGAATATCCAGCAAAAATTGTCCATCACAAAAGTTTCACACGCCACACCCCTTGCTTATATAGCCAGTGGGGTGTGGCCCAGTGACTCAGCTGAACTATCTGGCATGGCGTTTCCGCTGCTGCGCACGCTTGTCCTTCCGACGCTGGCGTGGATCCAGCCAAGACGTATCCTCTTCGGAGTCCGATACACCTGGCTCCTGGCCGATCCCAGAAGCACCTGGCTCCTGGCCAATCCCAGAAGCACCGGGCTCCTGGCCAATCCCAGAAACACCGGGCTCCTGGCCAAACTCCTCTCCGTCGGAAGGCACCGAAGGCCGCACCAGAGGGGAAGGGCCTGGAGAGGGAGGCCTGGCCATCTCCTCTCCTTCATGTTCAGAGCCTTCCTCCTCTGATGAGAGGGAC